CAGGACCAACCACAGACAGATGCACAGACACCGAGGCCCCATGGCTCCCCAGGAGCATCCACAGACAGATGCACAGACACCGGGGCCCAGGCTCCACAGGAGCATCCACAGACAGATGCACAGACACCGGGGCCCAGGCTCCACAGGAGCATCCACAGACAGATGCACAGACACCAGGGCCCCACGGCTCCACAGGACCAACCACAGACAGATGCACAGACACGGAGGCCCCACGGCTCCCCAGGACCAACCACAGACAGATGCACAGACACCGGGGCCCAGGCTCCCCAGGACCAGCCACAGACAGATGCACAGATACCAGGGCCCCACGGCTCCACAGGACCAACCACAGACAGATGCACAGACACTGGGGACCAGGCTCCCCAGGACCAACCACAGACAGATACACAGACACCGGTGGCCGTGGCACACAGACGTGTCCTGTTCCACGCTCAGGCTATTTCTAGGCCTTTTCCAATGCTTACAAGGAACTACACTCCATCTGTTTTATCCTCACTTACTTATGAGGCTTTGGAGGGAGACCCGTCAGTGTTTTCTAGCAGATCTCAGCAGGATGGCTTGCTGCTTTGTCTTGGGAGTTGCTGGTACAGTTCCAGGGCTTCTCATGAGCCCTGGGCTTGCTGCTCACTGCTGGCCTCTACCATGTCTCCAATCCAACTTGCTTGCACATGGAACTGGTACGTTTTAAAGGGCTACTTCAGGGCATGTTAGAACATAGCATTTTATGTGAATTCAATGAATTATAATCTACAGAGTCACTGAGAAATCCTACTTTAGTCAGTTTCATTGTTCGAAGGCTAGTAATGAACTTTTTTTTTCTTTTTTGCCCGTCCTGGGGCTTGAACTCAGACTGGGCACTGTCCCTGAGCTTCCTTTGCTCAGGGCTAACACTCTTAACCTTTGAGCCACAACACCACTTCTTGGCTTTTTCTGTGTATGTAGTACTGAGGAATCAAACCCAGGGCTTCATGGGCACTCCACCACTAAGCCACATTCCCAGCCCTAAATGAACAATCTTTTATGAGAAAAAAAAATAGCTCAAAATCTGAAATAGAAATATGTACTCCCCCCCACACACCCCCATTGCATGAGCTTGCTGAGCATTGGTGGCTCATGCCTGTAATCCTACTTACTTAGGAGGCTGAGATCTGAGGATCACGGTTCAAAGCCAGCCTGGGCAGAAAAGTCCCTGTGAGATTATTTCCAATTAACCACTCAAAAACCAGAAGTGGCCCTGTGGCTCAAGTGGTAGGAGCACAAAGAGGTTCAGGGACAGCGCCCAGATCCTGAGTTCCAACCCCATAACTGACAAAAAAAGACAACACATGAGGTTGGAAGCCCTGCTAGTTTGCAAACTAGATTAATGGAGCTAAGGAGAAACCAGTTCTGCACTTCCTCCTGCGCCTTTTACCTCCTACTTCAACTGCTGCTGAGTCATCTCCCAGCAACTTGTGTACAATCCAAAGAAACAAAGTTTTTTGTTGTTTTTTTGGTCGTGGGCTTGAACTCTGGGCCTGGGCACTGTCCCTCAGCTCTTCAGCTCAAGGCTAGTGCTCTACCACTTGAGCCACAGAGCCACTTAGTTTTCTGGTGGTTTTTCTGGTGGTTAACTGGATGAGTCTCAGGGACTTTCCTGCCCAGGCTGGCTTTGAACTGTGGTCCTCAGATCTCAGCTTCCTGAGTAGCTAAGATTACAGGGGTGAGCCATCAGAGCCCGGCTCCAAAGTAATAAAGTTTTAAATTCACTCATCTCAGACTTTTTACCACTTGGCCAACAGTGCCATTTCCAGCTTTTTGTGAGTAGTTTACTGGAGATGTCTCACCGACTTTCTTGCCCAGGCTGACTTTGAACTACGATCCTCAAATCTTAACCTCTTGAGTACCTAGGCATGAGCCACTGATGCCTGGCTTCATCTCAGACTAATTTTTAATTTGAAAGATGATCTAACTGTAAGGTCCACTCCTGGATGGTGAGCAGACTCCACCCTCCTCCCAGCAAAGTCTCCACCCAGTACCTGGGTTACCTAGGCAACTGGCACACCTGGAAGAGGTCACATCCGCATCTGCTGAGGTCACATCTGAATTTGATGTGGCCACATCTTTCTCTGCTCATACCCTAGATAAGGCCTAGCCCAGGCCCAGATGCCCTCTCTCTGCTCTTTTCTAGCTCTTTCTCAGCTCTTTCCTTCTCTTCTCTTTCCCAGATCTCTTCTCTTTCCTAGCTTGCTCTTACCCACCTCTTTCCCAAATGCTCTCTTTTCTAGCTCTTTTCTCTCTCTTTCCTAGCTCTCTTTTTCCCAGCTCTCTTTCCCAGGCCTTTCCCCACTGCATGGAGGACCAAGATGGCCTGATGCCAGCTGGAACAATGAATAAACCTACCCCTTACCTGAATACCACGTGCCTGGTACTGTTCTTACTCAGCTACCTTTTTAAAAAACCTAACACTAACAATTTTTGTTCATAAATATGCAAAACACTTGCCCAGTATATCACTTCCTAGTATATCCAACCTCACTTCTGAAGTAGATGCTGAATCTAATGGGCACCATCAGGACCACATGGTGGATGATGGGGATTAGGTTTAACTGGCACCCAGTGATGGTGGGGGCAGGCAAGCCTCACCTCTGGGGTGATGGGCATGCCTGAATTCCTAGAGGCAGGGTGGCTTACTGGGCCGGCAGCTCCCTGTGACCCTGCACCCTGACACCACACATGTCTCCTGTTCTTGTCCTGTCTTCTGTATCTTTTCCCCGCCACCATGGAGTCCCTCAGGTCCCCATTGAAGCTGATCTGGTTTGTGGGTATGGTTTTCCGGCTCGCTCTCTCCTCTGTCTCTCATGGCTCAGTTTTCTGTTAAGTTTTATTCGTGAGGCTGCAGATCCTTGAGATAGGAGTCCATCTGCAGACCCCTGATATGGCCTCTGAAAATGTGGCTTCTCTGTTTTCTTGTCGTACACTGCCAGTCTGTACTGTACTATCCTCCATTTGAGATTTTTCACCTTCCAGTGTGTAAGAAAAAATAGAATGAATGCATGGTACTAAATAAGCTAAGTAGTTTGTTACAGTGTTGGGTTGTTTTTGAGACAGGGTATCCCAGGCTGTAACTTGAACTTGAAATTGTCCTGTCTGCCAAATGTTGGCATGGAGCTTGAACCCTGGGCCCAGGTGCTGTCCCTGAGCTCTTCAGCCCAAGGCTAGTGCTCTACCCACTGAGCCAAAGTGCCGCTTCCAGTTTTCTAGTGGTTCATTGGAGATAAGAGCCTCATGGGCTTTCCTGCCAGGGCTGGCTTTGAACTGTGATCCTCACATCTCAGCCTGAATAGCTAGGATTGCAGGCGTGAACATGCATGAGCCACCAGTGCCCAGCCTCTCCCCCATTCTTTAGCTATACAGGACTCCCAGTGCTTGGATAAATGTACTTTACTGTTTCCAATATTAAAAAATACCACAATAAATTTTGTATGTTAAAGGAAGATTAAGTAGAGTTTCTGGGGAAAAGGGCAGATTCATAAGTAGTCTTGTTAGATGTTGTCAAATTCTCTTCCATAATGGCTGAACTCTGCCTCCCACCAGTCAAATCCAAGCGTTCTTGCACTCCACAGCAGCATTCTGGGTGCTTGCTGTTAGGTCTTCCCAGGAAGAATAGCCTGTTCCCTACAGCCCCCACCCAGCATTGTAACCCAGGTAACGGGCACCTCGGCCTTTCCACCCCCTGTACCCTCCAGTTTGTGTAGGCTGGCAATATGCTCTCCCCCAATAAACTATTCTGCCTGGATCCTGTGGCAGTCCTATTCAGGTAAACCAGGTTACCCTTCCTCTAATGGGACAAATGTTCTCTGAATCACAGTCTCATTTAGATATAGATATGTAGTTTTGTTTTTAATCAGTCTTGCCTGGGACCTGGACTCAGGGCCTAGGCCTTGACCGAACTTTTTTTTTTTTTCTCTTCCACGTAGACCTTCAGCTGTACTTCTGGCTTTCTGAAGGTTAATTATAGATAAGAATCTCAGGGGCTAGGAAGGTGGCTCAGTGGTAGAG